GAGTGCTCAGGGGAAGGTGGGAGTGGATCTGAGTGTGCTCAGGGGAGGTGAGAGTGGATCTGAGTGTGCTCAGGGGAAGGTGGGAGTGGATCTGAGTGTGCTCGGGGGAGGTGAGAGTGGATCTGAGTGTGCTCGGGGAGGTGAGAGTGGATCTGAGTGTGCTCAGGGGAAGGTGGGAGTGGATCTGAGTGTGCTCAGGGGGAGGTGAGAGTGGATCTGAGAGTGCTCAGGGGAAGGTGGGAGTGGATCTGAGTGTGCTCAGGGGGAGGTGAGAGTGGATCTGAGTGTGCTCAGGGGAAGGTGGGAGTGGATCTGAGTGTGCTCAGGGCAGGTGAGATTGGATCTGAGTGTGCTCAGGGGAAGGTGGGAGTGGATCTGAGTGTGCTCAGGGGAAAGTGAGAGTGGATCTGAGTGTGCTCAGGGGAAGGTGGGAGTGGATCTGAGTGTGCTCAGGGGGAGGTGAGAGTGGATCTGAGTGTCCTCAGGGGGGTGAGAGTGGATCTGAGTGTGCTCAGGGGGAGTTGAGAGTGGATCTGAGTGTGCTCAGGGGGAGGTGAGAGTGGGTCTGAGTGTGCTCAGGGGAAGGTGAGAGTGGATCTGAGTGTGCTCAGGGGAATGTGAGTGTGGGTCTGGGTGTGCTCAGGGGGAGGTGAGCAGTGATATGAGTGTGCTCAGGGGAAGGTGAGCAGTGATCTGAGTGTGTTCAGGGGGAGGTGAGCAGGGTATCTATCTGAGTGTGCTCAGGGGAATGTGAGTGTGGGTCTGAGTGTGCTCATGAGGAGGTGAGCAGGGGATCTGAGTGTGCTCAGGGGGAGGTTAGTGTGGGTCTGGGTGTGCTCAGGGGGAGGTGAGTGTGGGTCTGCGTGTGCTCAGGGGGAGGTGAGTGTGGGTCAGGTGTGCTCAGGGGGAGGTGAGTGTGGGTCAGGTGTGCTCAGGGGGCGGTGAGTGTGGGTCTGGGTGTGCTCAGGGGAATGTGAGTGTGGGTCAGGTGTGCTCAGGAGGAGGTGAGCAGGGGATCTGAGTGTGCTCAGGGGGAGGTTAGTGTGGGTCTGGGTGTGCTCAGGGGGAGGTGAGTGTGGGTCTGGGTGTGTTCAGGGGGAGGTGAGTGTGGGTCTGGTGTGTTCAGGGGGAGGTGAGTGTGGGTCAGGTGTGCTCAGGGGGAGGTGAGTGTGGGTCTGGGTGTGCTCACGGGGAGGTGAGTGGGTCAGGTGTGCTCAGGGGGAGGTGAGTGTGGGTCTGGGTGTGCTCACGGGAGGTGAGTGTGGGTCTGGGTGTGCTCAGGGGGAGGTGAGTGTGGGTCAGGTGTGCTCAGGGGGAGGTGAGTGTGGGTCTGGGTGTGCTCAGGGGGAGGTGAGTGTGGGTCAGGTGTGCTCAGGGGGAGGTGAGTGTGGGTCTGGGTGTGCTCAGGGGGAGGTGAGCAGTTGTGGCCAGAAGTGAGTTTGCAGAGAGCATCAGCAGGAAGTGATGTGGTCACATTTTGGAGTTTGGTCTTTGAGCTTTGGCAGGAAGGGGAGTAAGCAGATGCAATTGTGCGGTCAGGGCTGGGATTTGAGGCAGCATGCTGGGGGCTGGAACTCTGGGGTCCAGGAGACAGAGGGTCTGGTGACTGGATAGAGGGGGACAGGTTTCCAGGCTCATGGTGATAAAGAGTGTCTTCGAGGCCCTCATCCTTCCTCTATTCCTCAGCGCAGTTCCCTTCTCCTTGGGCCGAGGGGCCCTAGTCAGCCTTTAGGAGTTAATGTTTAGGCGGCAGAGGCACAGGGGGGCATCCCTGGTGCTCCCCCTCCCTGGCAGGCTCGTGCTTGGGGCGGGGCAAGGGGCACTGGAGTGAGACGGACAGGGCAGCGAGCCTATTGCACAGCCCCGGGAGGCCTGTTCAACCGGGACATGTGGCACCCGTGACCTTGCTGGGGAAAGAAGTCGAGAACTGGGTGTGCTGGGCCTGGCACCTCCTGTCCGGGCACCCCTGTGGTGAGCCCCAGCGCCCGTCCTCAAGGCCTCAGGCACTCCTGGGCTTAAAGGTACACTAGTGCTGCGACCAGCCCTCGGGGGATGGCCACGCGGTGCCCGGAACCCGCCCTGGGGCCGGGCTAACAGGCACCTGGTCTACAGTGTTGCCTGCTTCTGGGGGAGGTGTTTCCCTCATCTCTCGTCCCTGCCTGATGGGGAGGCAGGCAGGCAAGCAATTGGGGGGAGAGGGGACCGGGCAGCTGGCCTTGGGGCGTCTGGGGCTTCCCAGGAGGAGGAGGGGCAGGAGGCAGAGCAGGCTCTCTGTGGGATGAGGCCAGAGGTGAGGTGAAGGTGGAGCAGGGCTAGAGAAGGCTCTCCCGTCCCTCTGTGGCCTCTGGACCCCCAGCCAACACCACACATGCCAGGATCACTCTCAGCAAGAAATGACCTTGACAGCTACACGCTTCGGGTCGACAGAGGGAGCCCTAACTCTGCAGTCCCCGTGGTTTAGGGCTGGCTGGCTGAACAAGCTCCCACCCCAGGTGGCTCTGCCCGGGGAAGGGACGCGGCCCTGGAGCTGGGCGGCGGGGATGGGCCTTGTGGCCCTGGAAGAGCAGTGTCCCAGGCTCTGACTCCTGTGGGTCCAGGGGAAGGAGAGGGGTGGGGACTAGGAGGCGGCCATCAGGGAAAGCAGAGGTCAGATGGGGTCAGGCTTCTGGGCCCACAGCCACGCGCCTGCCCCAGCCTTGCCCGGACCCTCTCGTTCTGGCTGGAAGCCACCCTCTAACCCTTCCGTATAGCCTGTCCCTCCCTCATACCTATCGCGCTCTCCCAACTCCACGCTGAGCTTTCTGAATGGGGGCTGCTGCCCAGCACTGACTGCCTCCTTCTCCGAGGCGGGCCTGCTCTCTGGGCCTGAATTAGGGTCCCCCTGAGGCCACCCCAGGAGCCAATCCCAGAGCCTTGTGGAAGGGGGAGGGGAGAGTGGCCAGGCTGGGTGGGCGCCCTGGCTCCTGAAGCTTCCACCCCCAGCAGAGAGACCCACCTCTGGCCTCCTCCCTCCATCACTGAAGAACAAGCAGTAGGAGCCACAGCCACCTCCTCCCCCCTCCCTGCCGCCTCCTCCTCGGCTCAGCCGGCAGGTTGTCTTGGCAACGGGAGGCGGAGAGGAGATGCGCCCAGGGATGGAGGTGTATGTCACCGAGGAAGCTGCCGTGCTCCTGCCTCACGCCCCAGGCCCTTGAAGGTACCGATTACCCTCCCTACTCCCCCCATCCTTCCCCTTGACCCCCCCTCCCCCCTTCAACATGCCTGTTTTCCTGAGGGGAATGCTCCCTTCCCCCCAGCCGGAGACAGTTACCCATTCCTCAGGAGCTACCTCGCTCCAGGCCCCTGCCCTCAGCTTCCGAGCCGGCAGCAGCTCGCTCCAGCCTTACCTCTGGGACCCTTGCACGGAAGACAAGCCTCCCGGGTGGGTCTGGTGAGGGGTAGTGAGAGCAGGGAGGACCCAAGGGGAAGGGAAGATCAGCGGTGCTGAAGGCTGAGGCGGAAAAGCACCAGCACTTGCTCTTCGGGAGGGTGGAGGGGGAGGGTGGAGGGGGGCTGTGCGGGCCTGGGGTGGGGCCAGAGCAGTAAGGGGGGCGGGTGGAGGGAGAGAGCGCAGAGAGGCCCGGTGGCCAGGCTGGGTACCCAGAGAAGCCTGGCCCCTCTCTTCAAGGATGTGGCCCCTCCTGTGACATCTAAGGTACACCCCCTCCCACCATCTCCCTGTGTTCTTCACTGTCAGATGGGCCCTGTGTTCCCTCCCCCACGCCTGGCTTTCTCATCTCTTTGCAAGGCCCTCTCCCCACCCAACACACAGCAGCTGGACTGTATCTACTCCTCCTCGCCGCTCAGCAACCTGCCTTCATTTCTCCTTGCTTTCCTGAGCCCAGCCTTCAGATTTCATTCTCCTGCCTTCCAGTAACCCAGACACATACCTCCTCCCTTCCTGTCCCTACCTGTCCCCTCCTGTCCCCTCCTGTCCTCTTCTTTTAGGGAAGAAGGTCCCAGGGAACATTCTCACTTGCCCCCTTCAAGACCCTCCCCTGTGATTTTTCTATTCAGGTATCCCAGAGCCCCCTCCCCAGTCTCTCAATTTCCCCAATGACAGCTGATACATCAGCTGACCGGCTGTGGGCAGTGGTTACCAGGGCAACGGCAAGAGCTGCCTAGGTAGGCAGGTCTTCCAGGCGGAGGTGGAGAGAGGAGGCCAGGGCCAGGGTCAGCTGGCGGGGCTCCCTTCCCTGCCTGCCTCCGGGGGTCACAAGTGAACCGGGCTCTGCTCTGAGCCCACAGCAAACCAAAGGCGGTACAGGGTCCTGGAGGTCCTCCCAGAGGCGGGGGAACATCCTGAAACGCTGTGCTGGGACCTGGGCCCCACCTGGCAGGAAGTTCCCTGTTGATGAAGTCGCCCTGGCAGGAAATGGGGCTCCTCTCCCTCACAGCACCACCGCTGTGCTCTGTGCATTTCCGAGGGGACTCAGGTTCCTGAAGGGCTAATCAGTCTCCTGTGCTGAAGACCTGCTTTTCCCAGTCCTCCCAGGAGAGGGTTGATCCTGGGGCGATCAGTTCTGGCAGCTGTGCCCACACCCCTCGCTCTCGGCTCCATGCCCTTTATCACCCAGGGAGGCCAGGGCCCCAGAGGCCCCTGTGGCTGCTGTTAGCTGCCGGGCAGCAGATACAGGTGCTTGGAGGAACCAGATGTTGTCCCCCTGGGTTATCAGCAGGGCCCCGTCCCGCTGCGAAGGTCTGGCTGTTTGTGAGGACGCTCTAGGAGCTGAGTGAATGTGCGAGTGTTGCAGGGCAGGGGTGTGGGAAAGGGGAAAACGGCCGGCGGCTGGCCCAGTCTGCTTCCGATTCTGCTTCGTCATGATGTCCGCTTAATGCTCCTCTTGTTTGAAATGGATTGAGCTACAGCGAGTGAATGAGTGAGCGAGCGAGCGAGGTGGAAGAGCAGACGCGTACAAACACACCCTGGGCCGGCCACACGCTATCAGTGGAGGTGGGGAGGGTGCGGGCGCGGGGGAGCCAGTGGCCCACGCCTGCCACACGCAGACGCCCCAGCTCAGCTGGGATCCGAGCTCCAGGCTTGTGGAGGAGCAGGGTGGGAGCCAGGGAGGTGGGGGCAGGAGGGTAGGTCTCTTCCTCCAGCTCCCACCACACCCCAGCCAGCTCTTTTCCTGTTATCTGAGCTGCGGGAAGAGATGCCGGCTACCTAGGCTCAGAGGAAAGCGGCAGCCAGGGACCTGGCCTGCGCCGGTCCCTGCCAGCCTTGGGGCCTAGTGTCGGGCCACGCTGTCTGGGAACAGGTAGGTGGCAGGGTCTCCCACTCTCTTCCCCTCTGTGGGCACTTTGGGCCACAACACCAGCCTGGGAGTGAGGCTCTGGGGGGTGGCAGGGAGCCCCTAGGAGGGCCAGCTGTGGTCTGTTGTTGTTCAGTAGGAGATGGGCCCTGTGGCCAGACCTGAGACTGGCTGGGTTTGATCTGATCCGACCGCCTTCGGATCTGAGGAAGAGGGCCTGGGGGGTTCCATGCTGGCACCCCGGCGCCCCCCTCACCTAGTTGTGATGGGATGGGGCCAGGGAGAGCAGGGGAGCTGTTCCCTCTGCTGAATGACAGGGAAGGGAGAGAAAGGGGTGGCAGCCTCCCTCCCACCACACCACAGGTATTCTGGGGGGAGCAGTTCACACAGAGGCCGCATGTTGTTGGTGTGGGGTGTGCTCCTGGGGCAAGGGGTCTGGGAGGCCCCTGCTAGCCCTTGGCTGGCCAGGCTGGGTGAGGGCCAAGTGCAGGATGAGGTTGGGCGGCAGGGTGTGGCGGCAGCCTGACCCCAGCTCTCTCCGGTGCTGGCTGTTGATGTGCTTGAAGGGGCTGGGGCTGAGCAGACACGCAGGCCCCCCAGGACCAGAGGCGCCCTTTCCTGGGGAGGTGCACCCGGTGTTTCCCTCCCAGGGGACCGTGTCGCCAGGGTGCCAGAGTCAGGGGAGCGAGGGTGGGTCTAGGAGATGGGGGTAGTGGTGCTGTGGGAAGGGGTGGCGCAGAGCCCCCAGGCAAGGGTAGAGGTGGGGGCTCTGGGTGTGTGGCTGCACACGTGCACAGCTTGGAGAGGGGGTGTCGGCACGTGGCGTGCGTGGCTGTGAAGGGGCGGGTCGGTGGGTGGGGGCAGTGGGTGTCCGTGGCACCGTGTGTCAGTGTGTGGGGCCCTCTCTGGGAAGTGGGTGTGTGATCTTGCAAGCAGGTGGGTGCATTCTGTAACGATGTTTCAGCGTGGGCTCTCCTGCCTGTGCGCACGCGTGAGTCTCGCCTCAGCCATGCCAGCCTCTCCATGGCCAGGTGTGGTCACCTGGGGCAGGCTGTCCACCTGGGGGTGCAGGTCTGTAGCAGGTCCTCCTCGGAGTTCATGTGTGTGTGAAGACAAGCTTAGGGATGGCCCATCATTCAGAAAGCTGAATTTGGGATTCAAGACCCTTGCATCGCCCCCAGCCCTGTTGATCCAGCTTGTACAGGTGACATCACAATCCACCCACAGGGCCCACTATAAATAGAGGCCAGAGCAGGAACACGCTGGGGACCAAGCAAGCCTGAGGGGCTGAGGGACACAGGAAGAGGGGCTCCTCAGAGCGGGATAGAGAGGACACAGAAACCCAAGAGAGAGATCTCAGCGAACCCAGATGAGCAGATGCATGTTTGTGGGGTAGGAGGGAGGAAGGGGGGCCCGGTCCTGATGTCATCAGGAGCAAAGGCAGGGGAGGATAGGGGCCCGCCTGCTCCTTGCCGGATGCTTCTCAGAGTGTGAGAGGGTGCTGTAGTGTTGGCACCAGAGGAACCCCAATCCTAGTCCCAGCAAAGGGACAGGGCGTTAACATGGGCGTGCGATGAAGGAGAATATGAGAGGAGAGGAGAGAGTGAGGGCTTCACCAGTCTTAGAAAAGGCCCCGGCCTCAGGCGTGGTGGAGGTGACGGATACTCGGACGAGCCACTGGCCCAGAGCAGGGAGGCTCGCCTGCTCACGCAGTGTCCTTTTTGGGGGAGCGTGGGTGCTCCTCCCCACAGAGCCCACCCCCAGAGCAGGCCTGGGCCCGCAGGCCCTACCCCTCCCTCGCTGGGATGCTGTTTTGGGAACTGGTGACCTAGCTGGATCCCGCCTTTATTCCTGGCATTGAGTTGTTGCCACAGTAACTGCGGGGGTGGGGCTGGGAGTGGGAGAGGGTGAAAGGGAAACAAACGGAGAAGGATGAAGAAAGTAAAGAAAAAGGGAAAGGAAAGCAGAGGGAGGGGGGCGGGAGCAAGGACGTCAGTCACACGGAACGAGACTGGAGAGAAAGGGGAGGCCAGTCCCTGGCCCCGCTGACCCCGGCCCACTTGGACAGCTCGCCTCACGCATAACTCCTTTACTGTCAGCACCTCGCTGGCCCTGCCTGGCGGCCAGAGCCCAACCCCCAGCCTCCTGCTACTGTCCCCAGGCTGGGCCAGTGAGGGAAGCACACAGGACCCAGTTCCAAGTTCGGATTAAGTGGGATCGTTGGGGACCCGCTGAAAAGAGTATTCCTTGACTTTGACCTGAGGAAGGATTCTAGTAGGCCTGGGTAGGGGTTCTAGCCTGGCTTCTATCCGGGCGGCCTTTGGCAAGTTAACTCCTGGCCACCGGTTCCTCATCTATAGGTCGGCTGCCTCCTGAACGCCCCCTACTGGGGGTCGAGCCCGCAACCCGGGCATGTGCCCTTGATGGGAATCCAACCCAGGACCCTTCAGTCTACAGGCCGACGCTCTATCCACTGAGCAAACCAGCTAGGGCCCGGGGGAGCCTTTATTTCTACAAGCCACAGTCAGGTCAGCCCCTACCTGGAGCAAGAGCCAGCCTGTTGGGTGGGTGCGTCTTATCGCCCCATCCCGGAGCCTGGGGCTCTGGTTGTCCTGGAGATGCAGATGGGCAGTGTGAGGTGGGGCTGGCTGGCGGCTCAGATAAGGCGGGCAGCACAGCTGGGGAGGGCGGGGTGCACGGCGAAGGAGGAGGAGCCGCCAGTGTCTGATCAGAGCTGGGGCAGCTGAAGTGTCCCTTCCGCCACCTGGGCCTGCCTTCCTCCCAGGTTCTTTCCTTTCCTCCCATCCCGCCCTACCTTCCTGCTGCAGCCTGCCCTGTGGCCCCGTCCAGGGAGTCAGTGCAGAGCAGGAGGTGTGCAGCGCAGGTGCTGGAGGGTGGGGGCTGGAGGCGGCTGAGTGAGAGGGGGTGTGGACTTGGAGGAAAGTAGCTTTGGGGGAGGGGGGCATGTGTGGGTGGAGTAAGCAGTTGCTTTGCAATATGATTTGACAGAAGCCAAGAAAACTCCACCCCCACCCCCACCCTCACTCCTCCACTCCAAAACACTCTCCCTCCTGGCTTAAAATGTCACCCCATGAGACTAGCCCACATTGACAAGTAATGCCCCGGGAAGGGCAGGACATTAACACGTTACCAGCTACCAGCGTGCTCTCTGACATCCCGGTGGGCACCCGTGGGAGGAGGCCCAGAGGCAGAGGGCGACCCGCCCCGGGGATGGCATGGTGTGCACAGAGCAGAGACATCATTCTGTGGAACCCCGTTTCTGAAGGGCCGTGCCCGTAGGACGTGTGCGTGTGTGAGTGTGGGTCTCGGCAAGGCCACGCACACCTGTGACACAGCCCCCCTCCAACCCTTCCCCTCCCCCTGGGCAGCTACCGCTGATAGACAGCCATTGCCCTCCTGTGTCCCCTCAGACAGCTGTTCAAAGGGAGGTGCCAGGGCCACCCAGGTGCAGCCTCTGCCTCCAGGAGACAAGCTCTCTGTCCTCCCCAACCTGCCCGGCCACGGCCACCCACACTCCCCGCTGTGACCCTTGCAAACCTCCTCTGCTCTCTGTAACCTCTGCCTAGCGGCCTGTGACAGGCGCATAGGACCTTATCTCTCTTTTAACAAAAGCCTCCGAATTGGGTGGTCACCTTGCTTCTTACCCCGTCCTCTCCTTTCAGGGAAACAAGCGTTTCCAAAGCTGGCCCTCCACCCGGGCGTGGACCAGCCCTCCACCTGCTGGAACTGGCTCCCTCTGCCTGCAGGCAGGGCCCAGTCTCCCCTGTCCTCAGAAGCCTCCAGCCAGTCTTCCTCCAAAGTTACTTCTCCTATCCCCGCCCTGCCCTTCTGGGGCATGTCCTGGAAGCACCCCCTACAGGGGTCCAGGCCAGGCCTCCCGCCCTGTGATCCCTAACAAGGAGGCCTCACTATTCCGCTGAAGATGCCCTCGGAGGCCACCAGGCCTTGGCACCCACCGGTCGGGCTGTCACTCCCTTCAGCACTCTGGCCTTCTCTGGGTGATGGACTCTCTGCTTCCTGACATTCTTCCTCAGCCCCTCCTCCCTCCCCGCCCCCATCCTTTCTCTCAGTTTGTACTGCACACTTACTACCTCTCAGGCCCTTTGCAGAAAAAAAAGTATCACTAGACACACACCCCCTACCCCCCCCCCCCCCCGCCCTTCTAGGAGCTGGCCATGGAATTTTCCTCCTCCCTTTCATGCTGTCTCAGGACTGTTTTTGATCTTCCTTCTCCCTTGGCAACCTCCTGTGCAGACCACCACCACTAGCTCACATGGCTCCCAAATCGCTGTTTCTAGCCTGCTCCGCCCTCAACCTCGTATTCTCCTTGGGCATTCCCACCTGTTCACCTGCTATACCCACCTCACCCTCAACCTGGCAAAAGTGACCTCATGGCTCCCTGTCTCTTGTCTCCCGGCCATGCAAGCTGCCTCTCCCCTGGGGCTCTCTGAGCAAGTCCTGTTTCGAACATTCTGCCTCTAGGATATCTCCCATTTGCCCCTTTCCATCTTTGGCCCCATGCCCAAGCCTAGACCCTCACAGTCCTGCCTCCTCCTCTCCCCCCAACTGCTGCCACGGCTTCCTGGCTTGTCTCTCTGTTTCTGTCCAATCCAACTCCCAGGCGGCAGCCAGATTCCTTTTCCCAAAGCACTGCTTGGATCTGTCACTTTTTTCTTTCACACAAGTTTCTAAGCATTCCATGGCCCCAGTTGCCCACAGAATACAATCTAACACCCACTGGTCTGGTTCAAAGGCCTCCACAGTCTTGCCCCCAACCCCTGGCCCAAGCATGCCCCCACCTCATGAGCCCTGCGGCTCAGTCGTGCGTGCTGCTCTGCAGGCAGACCAGGGCTTCCCGGCCCCACTTCCACTCATGCTGCTTCCTCTTTCAAGGATCCCTTTTCCAATGTTTGCCTGATTTCAAAGTGGGCATCCTTCAAGGCCCACCTCCCTTATCTCCTCCAGTAAGAAACCTTTATTTCCCCACTCTTGATGCCCCAGCACAGTGGTCGGCAAACTGCGGTTCGAGAGCCACATGCAGCTCTTTGGCCCCTTGAGTGTGGCTCTTCCTAAGCCTTAGGAGTACCCTAATTAAGTTAATAACAATGTACCTACCTATATAGTTTAAGTTTTAAAAACTTGGCTCTCAAAAGAAATTTCAATCGTTGTACTGTTGATATTTGGCTCTGTTGACTAATGAGTTTGCCGACCACTGCCCCAGCAGGAGTGATCCTCTCCTGGGACCTCTCACAGCCCCTTAGACTATCTTATCTGACACGTGTAATTTTCTGCTTTGCATGGGAGTTATCTATATGGATGCCTCACTTCTGGAGGGACAGCCAGCTCCTTTGACTCATCTTTGTGTTCTCCAGAAGACATCACAGAGTGCTGCTGTCTGGTCATTTGCAGAATAGGTGCTGAGAGAGTACTTGGTGAATGGATGGAGAAAACAATACATGACTGGGCAGGTGGGCTGATGAATGGGTGGATGGGTGGATGGGTGGGTGAGTGGATGGATGGATGGATGGATGGATGGACGGATTGATGGATGGGTGGGTGGATAGGTGAATGGATGGTGGATGGATGGATGGATGGATGGATGGGTGGATAGGTGAATGAATGGTGGATGGATGGATGGGTAGATGGATGGGTGGGTAGATGGATGGATGGATGGGTAGATGGATGGATGGGTGGATAGGTGAATGGATGGTGGGTGGATGGATGGATAGGTGAATGGATGCTGGATGGATGGATGGGTGGATGGACGGATTGATGGATGGATGGGTGGATGGGTGGATGGATGGATGGATGGACGGATTGATGGATGGATGGGTGGATAGGTGAATGGATGGATGGGTGGATGGATGGTGGATGGATGGGTGGGTAGATGGATGGACTGATGGATGAATAAGTGTATGCCTCTAGGACTAAGCAAAGTGTATCACTAGTTTGACAATGGCTGTTAATAAAGTAAAGATTAGAGAGGAGTGAGAGGGAGCTAACAGTTCCTTTAATAGGTACCAGAGTTTATTCTGGTCCTCAGACCCCTAGTTGAAAGCATTACAAAGTGAGTGCTAAGAAGTCAGGAAAAGGATGGAACTGCGGAATGGGGTCTTTCCATGGGCACCAGTACCTCGTGTGGCTCTGCGGCCTTGGCTCCAGAATTCCAAAAAGACTTGAGAAATGTGGCCGATACGGGTCTCTGTTCACCATGCACCTGAGCAGTACTAGGTAGGCGCTCTGACTCGGGCATTGCCTGAGACACGGCCACTCTCAGCTCCACGGCTCTGGACAAGTCCTTAGCCTGTCCGAGCCTCCGTTTCCTCGCGGGCCAGATGGGTCTACCTCCAGGGTTGCTGAGGGGACAGACCAAATAACCTTTGTAAAGTGCTTATCAAAGTGCCCAGCATGAGCATGCAAAACATGATAACTGTTATTACTGCTGTGTGCCCTCCAGAGGTAGCAGCCATTCTAGTTGGCAAAAAACAAAACAGGTTTCCACATCAGGCAACATTTAATCAAGGACGAAGCCATACGGTTCTTTTTTCAAGTCTCGCTGGAATTCAGAGATGGGTGGGGACTAGAATAGTAGGGAAGGCCTCCTGGGAGGAGGGTTGAGGACTGACCTCAAAGGACCGGGTGGGATCTGAAAGACAAAGCGGTGGGTGGTGAATAGCGAAAGGGCGAAAGGGCGTGTGCAAAAGCGGGGAAGTGGGAGTGAGGCTGCTTTGCAGCGAGCAGGTGGTTTTAGTGGTGGAGAGACAGCGAGCAGAATGACCTGATACAAAGTCATAGGTGATAAGATTGGGAGCACCAGTGACTTCAGTCTTTCATGACCCTCTGTCGCAAAGAAGGGCCTCAGAAAAACCATGGAAGTCCATTAGCCCCTGTGGAGAGAGAAATAACAATAGCTAACTACCTAGAATTTGTAGTGCTTTGAGCATTTCACATGTAATTTATCTGGTACTCAGGGCAACCCTATGACATTATCCTCCATTCCACAGATGAGAAATGTGAGGCACAGAGAGGGTAAGTAACTTGCCCAAGGCCACACAGCTTCTAAGCAGCAGAGTCTTATACTCATCCCCAGGCTCTCTCGGGTCCAGAGTCCATGCTCTTAACACTACATTATGCTGCCTCTTCCCTGAACCTCTGTAGCCATCGGTTCTCTTCACTCTGGCTTATTGCCTGCAGATAGGAAGACACTCCCACTCCACCATCACACTGGAAACTCAGCCAGGCATTCACTGAATGGTTATTGTAAGTCCAGTACCGGTGTGTGGGGGGTGGGGGATGGGAGCATGGCTATGGGAGTCACTGAAGAAGGAGAAGACTGGCTGCAGGGAACTCATAAGCTACTGCAGAAGACGGGGCCTAACCCCCTAGGAACAAAGGGAGAGCAGTGCCCCCACCCCCACCCCCGCCTCCCTGCAGGGAAGCAGCACTTCAGGGGCAGCCTCAGCACAGGCATGAGAAGGCTGTGGGCACTGGATGGGGCCTTGGCCCAGAGGGTGCTTCACTCTGCAGGTGAATTTGACCGCTGTACAGAGGCAGTTGCACCGGGATGTGGGCTGCCTCCACCCGCCTCTCCCTTCTTCACAGGGGTTGAAACCAGGGCAGAGCCCGGGTCAGAGTGGCACCCCCAGCCCCTGACCTGACCACTTCACCCCAAGTCCTCTCCTCCCTGCGTGTTCACCCCTTGCGGCCCTCCTGGGGTGGGAGCTGGCTGGCACAGTGGACAGCGGATGGAGGTGGAGTGGGACGAGGGGCCAGCGCAGAGCCGGGGAAAGAGGCACCATAGAGACCGAGGCGAGGCGTGGGAACCTGGGTCCGAAACTGGCCGCAGCCCCAGGCAGGGCAGGTGTGACGAAGCAAGGATGTAGGGCCGCCCAGGGTTGGCTGACCCCTGCCGTCATTTCCTTTCTAGCCGGAGAACAATGGCTCAAAAACAAGTGCAGCCCTCCACTTTCCCGCTCCCGCTCCACGGCGGGCTTCCCCAGGCGGAGCGAATGGAAAGCCGGAGCCCGGCGCCTTCCGCCCTGCGCTCGGAGCCCAGCCCCAGCCCAGGCCCGCTGAGATCCCGGCCCCACGGCCTGGCTGGCACGGTCTCCCTCCCCTTCCAGGCCCCGCATCGGCCAGCAGCCTGGACAGTCACCGAGGGATGAGGACGCTACCGCCCAGTGGGACGCCCTTTCCGCCCGCGCGGCCCCAAGCGCACAGCGCCCAGGAGCCGGGCCGAGCTTGACGCCCCGTCGCCTCCCCTCGCGCCCAGGGATCTGCGAGTGACCCGACCACCACCTCCCGGCTGCATGGAGCGGCTGCAGAAGGTACGCGGGGCGGTGAGGGCCTGGGGCTCCGGGTGGGTGCGGCCAGGCTTCCAGGAGAGGGTCAGGTCGGGGTCGATGGTGCCACCTGGTGGTTGCCCGCAGCGCCGCACCCTGGGGTCCCAGCGGCCTAGGACTCCCTCTCTGCCCTGGCCCACCCTTTGGAACGCCCTGGCCCTGGCCCTGGCCCTGGCCCTCGCCCACACGCACATTCCCACGCCGCCTTCTCACTCTCCCCAGCAACCACTTACCTCCCCCGGGAGCGTCAGCTCCTCCCGAGACTCCAGTGTTCCCGGCTCTCCCTCCAGCATCGTGGTGAGTACCTCTTGGCCACCAGCACCCTCCGGCTGGGAGGGAGCAGGGCCGGGACCCACTCCCCGCTGTGCCGCTTCACTCCGCCTCCCTGCCAGGGCTGGTGGACAGAGAGAACCCCAGAAGCCTGAGAAGGTGTCCCCGCTGTCCTCCTCCTGGTCTGGTCCTGTCTTGTACCCAGAGTGCTAGGTGAAGGACTACGTTTTTTAAGGCGACTCCCTAAAACCCTTAAAATTGAATAACGGAACTTAGCGCGGAGCTGACCTCTAAAAAGGCTGTCCATTTTCTTCCTACTGAGTTGCAAATTTCGCTTGTAAGGCCAGGATCCCAGGTGAGCTTTTGAGCATGTCTGTTCCATCGGCACCATTTCCCTTCAGGCCAAGATGGACAACCAGGTGCTGGGCTACAAAGACTTGGCTGCCCTCCCCAAGGACAAGGCCATCCTGGACATCGAGCGGCCTGACCTCATGATCTACGAGCCCCACTTCACCTATTCTCTCCTGGATCACGTGGAGCTGCCCAGAAGCCGGGAGGTGAGTGGGGGGACGCTTCCCCTTGGGCAGGACTTGGGGGGAAGGTCTCCCCCAGGCCACACTGGGTGGGTGGCAGGATCTCTGTCCTGCCTTCTTTCCTGGAGGCCAGACTCCAAAACAAGAGAGAGAACTGTGCACAGGACTCACCCAGTGATAATCGCGTGCTGTGGAGAGCAGGGGAGACGGGCTGGAGGGCTCCGTGGGAGAGCAGGGGAGGCTGTGTCTGAATGGCAGCGACCCCTAGAGGTCAGGGAGGAGGAGGAGGAGGGTGGGGGAGGGGGAGTAGGCAGAAAGCAGATTTGTAGAAAGCACCCAGAAACACTGACCTCAGAGGCTGAAAGTCCTAGCTGAGTGCCTGTGTGTCTGTGTGGTCCAGTTTCCCCTCCTGTGACATGGAGGTGGCACCTCTGCCCATCCATCTCACCAGGGAGTCAAGTGCAGGAGATAAAGCACGCATGCCAGGGGCTTTGTAAATGGTATTTGAGAAAGGGGTAGTGTCATGGCTGAGCAGCGAGATGGGGCCAGGCTGGAGGGAGACTTAAATACCCGCCAAGAGCCCAGACTCCATCCTCGATGCTGTGGGTCTGGCCCTGAGGACGGTGCCACAGCCATCCTCAGCTGGCCTTCCGAGCACAAGCACACTGCTCCAGGGCCGGTGGCTTCCTGGTGCACCCTGGGGACAGGCCTAGGAGTCTGCCCAGGAGAGCACTGGGAGGGAGGCGGGAGGGCCAGCGCTGGGAACTGGGAGGGTTAATAGAGAAGAGATAGCCCAGACGTTGGCCAGGTAAGGATGCAGACTTGGGTGAGGGATGCAGTGGCCCCTCTGGGGCTCTAGGAACGAGGGTTTCACCCTACCCTGTGGCTCTGACCAGCTCCTCTCCTTCGCAGCGCTCGCTGTCACCCAAATCCACATCCCCCCCACCGTCCCCAGAGGTGAGTGCCGCCCAGCCCTGCTCCCACAGGCCCAACTCCCGGCCCCCAGGGATGCCGGGATCCCTGGCCCTCCTTTGTCACCGGCCAGCTCTGTCCATCTGTCTGTCTAGCTTGGGGGCTGCAAGGGTGGGAGACAGAGATGGTGGAGTAAGGTGCAGCTGCGTCTACATGGGTTGGAGGGGCCGGGCAGGGGGACCCAGGAGCCGCAGTGAACCTCACTTGTGCTCTGCAGGTGTGGGCGGATAGCCGGACCCCTGGAACCATCTCTCAGGCTTCAGCCCCAAGAACCACTGGGACCCCCCGAACCAGCCTGCCCCATTTCCACCATCCTGGTAGGTTTCCCTGCCAGTCTGCTTGCACCCTTTTCCTAGGACCTCTTTTCTCCTTCAGGAACCCAAGCCCCTTGCTGGGGTATCCGCTCCCCACAGAACTGGCCAGACCTCCGCAGCCAGAACCCCGGGCAGAGCTCCCAAAGATGGTAGACCCTGTCCCAGCCCCCTCAGGGACAGTTCCAGGAACTCTGGTTCTGTCTTGGCTCTTGACAGGAGCCCACGAATTTCCTACCTTCTCCCACTCCCCTTGTCTCCTTTCTCATCCCTGACCTGGCCTCCCTGTCATCAACACATCCTTCTCCTCCACTTTGCTCTGTACAGAGACCACCCGCCCAGATTCCAACATCTACAAGAAGCCACCCATCTACAAGCAGAGAGGTGAGGCTCCTGACTCACCTGATCCCCATGCTGGGAGGCTGTGCCCAAGGCTGGGAGGGGGCAGGAGAGTAAGTGTCCATATCAGCACACAACCGTGCCCTGTGCTTCCTTATGCGCTGTTTTGACACCCACGACCTCACAGGTGTGAAGGGGGGCAGGTGCGGGGCTGGGGTGTGCACAGGCTGACCCTGACCTCCACCCGCAGAGTCCATGGGAGGCAGCCCTCAGAGCAAGCACCAGATTGAGGACCTCATCATTGAGTCATCGAAGTTCCCTGCAGCCCAGCCCCCTGACCCCAACCAGCCAGCCAAGATCGAGACTGACTACTGGCCATGCCCCCCATCGCTGGCTGTTGTGGGTAAGAGAAACTGTTGAGGGGAGAAGGGAGGCAGGACACTGCCCATCGCCCCTGTGGATGCCCCATGGGCCCACCCTCACCCCACCCCACCCACCCCGTGTCCTCTGGTGAACCCTGTAGGCTCTTCACTCACCCACTCCTAGAGCTTTGGTATCAACAGCTTATTGGTTAGTCATTTGTCACTTCCCATTCATTTATTGGACCACTCAGCAGACATTTGCCACACTTCTACGCATCCCAGGCTCTGTAGTAGGAACTCTGGGAAAGAGAAATGAGACAAGTCTTGGTCCCAGTGAATTTGAGTTATGTGAGTGTATATTGTCCACCCAGCCTCACTGTAAGGCAATTGTTATTTTTCTTTTCTTTAAAAAAAAAATTTAGCCCTAATCGGTTTGGCTCAGTGGATAGAGCATCAGCCTGCGAACTGAAGGGTCCTAGGTTCGATTCCAGTCAAGGGCATGTACCTTGGTTGTGGGCACATCCCCAGTAGGGGGTGTGCAGGAGGCAGCTGTTCGATGTTTCTCTCTCATCGATGTTTCTAACTCTATCCCTCTCCCTTCCTCTCTGTAAAAAAAAAAAAAATTGTAGTGCTCACTTTATTTTTTAAAAAAATATATTTTATTGATTTTTTACAGAGAGGAAGGGAGAGAGATAGTTAGAAACATCGATCAGCTGCCTCCTGTGCTGGGGTCCAACCCCAGCAGGTCCAGGGGTTCCCAAAGGTGTAGACGGAGTCGGCGAAGAAGGAATGACACAGAGACAGTGTTCAGTTGATCAGCAGCCTAGCCAGGATCTCTAGCCAGGATCTCCAGCCAAGTTCTGGTCTGGATCTCCAGCCAAGTTCTGTTCAGGATCTCCAGCCAGGTTCTGTGTCCATGTTCTCTTGCTAGGTTCTCCAGGTTCTCCAGGTTCTCCAGCCAGGTTCTGTAGCCATGTTCCCTCGCTAGGTTCTCCAGCCAGGTTCTGTCCAGGTTCTCCAGCCAGGTTCAGTCACCAGGTTCTAGTCAGGTTCTCTTGCCATGTTCTATCCAGGTTCTGTAGCCAGGTTCTGTGTCTAGGTTCTTCAGCCAGGTTCTCTTGCTAGGTTCTGTTGCCAGTTTCTGTCCAGGATCTTTTGCCATGTTCTGTCTCTAGGTTCTGTCTCTAGGTTCTGTCTCTAGGTTCTGTTTCCAGTTTCTGTCCAGGATCTTTTGCCATGTTCTCTCCAGCGAAGTTCTTCTGTCTCTAGGTTCTGTGTAGGTTCTGTGTCTAGGTTCTGTGTCCTGTTGTCTTGTTACATCTGTATTTATACCAGTTGATTCCAATCCTATCAATCTCTATTCCAAAGGTTAGGGTGTTTCTTATCTCCATTCCAGGGAGTAAAGATTATGTAGCTTAAGCATGATTGTTCGTAGTTAAAGTGATTAATTATCTGCCTGGCACTTAGTTAAGGGGTTTTATTCCCTCCCTAATTTCAGGGGAAAATCCCTACCTGGGGAAACAACCTTTCTCAGAGAGGTGACCTTGGTTAAAACACATAGTGCCAAGAAGGTGAGCAAACATATTAAGAACAGTATGCCATATATGCCAGGTCCCTTGAAATAGCGAGGATGGACCGGCTCCCGGCACTCCTGCACACCCCCCACTGGGGATGTGCCCGCAACCCAGGTACATGCCCTTGACTGGAATCGAACCTGGGACCCTTCAGTCCGCAGGCCGACGCTCTGTCCACTGAGCCAAACAGGTTTCGGCTGTAGCGCTCACTTTAATATGCAGCGCGGTGTGATGCACACCTGATAAATGCTTGTTGAGCCAATGGCTGACACGCGGGCTTCCGCCTGTGTTTCCCAGAAACAGAATGGAGGAAGCGGAAAGCATCCCGGAGAGGCGCAGAGGAGGAGGAGGAGGAGGACGACGATGACTCCGGGGAGGAGATGAAGGCCCTCAGGGAGCGCCAGAGAGAGGAACTCAGTAAGGTAGCATCTCGCTGCCCCCGCTCCCCCTCCTGGGTCTCCTTGGGGACAGACGCCCTGGTTCCAGAGCTGTTCATTCTAAAGGGTTCACGCCTGGAGAGCACCCTGGTCAGAGCATGTGAGGACTTCCTCTTCTTTCCCAGGATTTCAGTTGCTGCTTTGGCAGGGACCCCAGGACTTCGTGCTGCTTTGGGGAAACACTGGTTATGTTAGGGTCAAAGGCACAGAAAGGTGGTCCCATCAGTGCCAGGCTGAGCAGGCTGAGCAGCTCTTGGGAAGAGGAGAAGCGGGAGAGCAGGCTGCTGGTCTCCAGAGGATGAGAGAGGGTGTTGGGAGTCGTGCAAAGGCCACTGATGGTGACATGGCTTGTGCTCTGGGCCTGGTGACCTGGGCTAGGAGGCCGCTGGGGTAGAGTCACACTGAGCGGCTCTGACTCCTTGCTCTGGGGGCGGCCAAACCCAGTGTGGCCGTGTCGAGGGCCGTTGGCAAAACACTCGGGCATCTTTAAATACGTCGCTGAAACTCAGAGCGAAGGCAGAGCCACGCCCTGGGGCCGACCTGCTCAACAGACCGGGCGCCACTCAGTTTGACCTTCCCGCCCAGTGTTAGGGGGTGGATCTCAGGATGTCGCCAGGAACTCAGGGCCCACCCGGATGGGATGTAACTCCCTGTTACTTGAGTATTTAATAAATCTGCTTGCGGTGCTGACGCTCTCTGTGTCTGTCCCTCCATCAGAGGGCAGACGCCACACCCAGGCCCAGCTTTCCCTCTAGTTTTGTCTCAGTCTTGTGTTTTTTCATTTTTCCTTAACCCTCGTTGCGTTCTAATTAAGATTCATCAACCTCCACGTTCTTTCTCTCTCTCTGCGCTGGTCGTGGGAAGAGAGAATGCACCCCCATATGGCAGGGCCTCAGACCAGGATGCCAGGCTTCCGGGGTTCCTGGCCCAGCCACTGGGGAGATCCGTCCCCGTTCCTGCCTGCAACATGCCCAACTCTGAACCTTCTGGAGATGAGAAACAAGTATCAAAGTCTTGGATCCATCCCCTTTTGTCCCCAGGTCACTTCCAACTTGGGAAAGATGATCTTGAAAGAAGAGATGGAAAAGTCACTGCCGATCCGGAGGAAAACCCGCTCCCTGCCCGACCGGACACCCTTTCATGCCTGTGAGTGCCACCAAGGGGGCTGGAAGGCCTGGCCAGACCCTGAGGCCAGAGCTGAACAGCTGTTGAGTCTGTTTGTCATGTGCCCGGCACCGTGCTACGCGGGTGTACGAGATGGAACATTTGCTCACTGGCTCAAGGCGCTCACGTTGTCCGTAGGGCAAGAATTCCAGTCGTGGAACAAGACGAGATGATAAACAATAGTATCAGCTAAAGCAGAATTAGCTAATTTTGCTTAATTGAATAAACATTTATTGAGTGTCTACCATGTGGGAGGCACTGGGGCTTATAAAGAGTGAAAAAATACAGTCCTGTCCTTCAGTAACTTCCAATCACTGGGGAAATTGCTGTGGTAACAGGTTTCAGTGCAGTGTAGCAGGTACTGGGATGAGCTGTGCACAGTGACAGGGCCTGTAGTCCGAGGGCCAGGGGGTGCTCACTGGGTCTTGAAGAATGAGACAAATTGAGTGGGAAAGAAGGGCATCGCAGAGACGGGGGACGGTGGAAGCAAAGGCAGGAACAGGAGCCTCCTGGCCAGTGGAGAGGGCCTCCAGGAGCCTGGAATCAGTGCCCAGAGTGTGCCATGTGGTGGCAGGATTGACACCAGAGAGCTGGGGTAGCCAGCGCTTTGGACACCATGCCTCCAATCACCCGAGTTTGGCCGGGACTTCCTTAGAGCATGGCAGCTGGAGAGGAGAGGGGAGATCTGAGTGCCCAGAACTGGGAGTTACAGGCCTCTAAAAGCACAGAAGCCACACAGCTTCGTGTCCACTGCATCCTATTGGTCAGAGCAGCCCAGACTCCGGGAAGGGGGAGATTCCATTTCCTGACACAGGAATGGCACTTAGGCGCTGGGAGATGGTGTTTCGGGCCACGATTGGAGACAACCTCCCACACTTCCCAGCGGTCTGGGTGAGGGCTAACATAGACAGTGCAGAGCAGAGGGCATGCATGGGTTTGAGAAATACATAGGAGACTGAAGCAACTGACTCCGTGGGAGGAGAGGGGCAGGCGAGTTGGGGGTTTGCCTTGGGTGCTGGTGATGAGAAGCCTAGAACTGAGATCGTGAAAGAGGCAGGGTTGGGAGAAAGATGAAGAGACTGGTTTAGGACATGTTGGGTTTGAAGTGCGAGTTTGACTGAGTCGGGAGCTTGAGGGGCAAGGCAGGCCTCAGGGAGCGTCTTCAGGGTTTAGGTAGTAGTAAGGCCGTAAGAAAGATGGGATTGTGCAGAGAGGAGAGAGGGCAGGGACAGGGGCAGGCTGTACCCTGGAGAGCACACACCTTCAGGTCCAGCTGAGGGTTGGCTCAGGGTTGGTCAGGATGTGGGGCTGGCCTCAGGGGCCTCTCTCTCTGAAGGTGGGGACTTGATCTGGGACAGCCAATTAGAAGTGGAGATTTGGGAAGGTTTGGAACAGCCACCTCAGGGAAGGGAGCTGCCCAGCCGTCCATCTGCAGTGATGACCATCTACATGGCGAGCCGGGGCCCAAGGCTGATCCAGGCAGAGTTTTTTGAGGCAGGTCTGTGGGATGCGGGGCCAGGTGAGCTGCTCAGTACTGGTGAAAGCAGTTTTGTACCCAACCACAGGTTGAAGGACAGGGAGTTTGGGTCAGGTCACCAGAGGTCCCCATGAGATTGACGAACAGGTGTGCTGGGAACCAGGCTGAAGGAAGCTGCAAACAAAGAAGGGCGCTATGGTCACAAAGTGGGGCCCCGGGCGTCAAGTGCCAGGGTGAAGCAGTGTGGATAGCGAGGTCCGGGGGCGACCATTGCAGGGGCTGCCTGCTGTGCAGTGGAGATGAAGGCCCTGGGGTGGGGGGTGGGGTTCAGGAACCCTAAGGTAGGTCTCTGGCTAGGACATCCACAGGGTCACCAAAAGACCAGGATGATATTTCAGAAGGGGTGGGAAGAGTTTTCAGAGAATGTGGACTAAGTAGTTAAGGCCTGAAGAATGAGACAGAGAGATGCTCTGAAGGTTGAATTCAGTCTCCGTGTTCCACTAGAACTTGCTTTCAGTCCAAATTAGCTCTTTAACTTCCATTTGGCCTTGAAAAGCTGAATAGCAAAATGTCTCCATCATCATCATTTTGGCACCCCTGAACTTGCATGTGATCAAAGATCATAGGATTACATGGGTTACAGCAGTGGTTGGCAAACTGCAGCTCGTGAGCCACATGCGGCTCTTTGGCCCCTTGAGTGTGGCCAAGAAGTTTCAATCGCACTGTACGTGCGCGCCCGCACGTGGTATTTTGTGGAAGAGCCACACTCAAGGGGCCACAGTTTGCCGACCACTGGGTTACAGTCGCAGCTAATCAACCTTAACAATTCCAAAATTATAGATAGCCCTAGCTGGTGTGCTCTGTGGTTAGAGCATTGGCCTGTGCACCACAGGGTCAAGGGTTTGATTCCCAGTCAAGGGCATGGGTTGCAGGTTAGATGCCCAGCCCTAGTCGGGACTTGTGCGGGAGGCAACCAATGGATGTGTCTCTCTCACATCAATATTTCTCCCCCGCCCTTTTTTTCACTATCTCTAAAAATCAATGGAAAAAATATCCTCAAGTGAGGACTAACCAAAAAACATTTAAAATTATGTATAGGCATGTCATTCTGACTTAATGGTAACATTGAATAGTCACTTTCAAACATAAGTAATGAATGATATCGCAACAGCAGATGATTTTCTACACAAAAATAAGTGTGTAAGTGGTTTTAAAACTAAGTATTAAGGAAAAAAACAACCAAGGTCCCCCCCAACACATTTTGTTCTCACCAATTAAACTTCCAAATAACAGATTTTATAAGAATGTTTTAAGAAGACAGTTCCTTATAGTTTTGAGTCTGTCAAGGCTAAACATTTAAACAATAAGTCTGGTCAAGATGATTGCTATAGAATGCTAACAACTTCTAGTAATTGGAGATGAAGGAGTTTTGAGATCTGCCCAAACTAAAGATCTTAGGTACAAAGATTTCCTAGGAAAACCTATTGCTGAAAACCAATTTTCTTGAATTATAATCTCAGTGCTTGAAAGCTTAGTGATATTATTAAATGTGTAAGTTGAAGGTGACACCTAATCATGCAATCCACGTTTTGGCTGCGGGTGCAGTCCAGCAGCTGACAGAGCTGAGGACAGTATTGTTTCTGTATTATAGGGTCAAATGTTTAAAACGTGGTTACTAAACTCGCTAATAATATAATTGTAACAATTTGATTATTTTTATGAGATGTCAGATTCCTTTTTTTACCCCAGAAGTTCATTTTACACTGGTGAGCTTCATCATCTGACAATCGCTCGCTAACTCTGGATTTTAACTCGGGCATTTGGCCCAAATGAGTGTTTGATGCCCTTCTGTTAGAGGGAAGGCATTCAAGAGAGTTCAGAGGCACCAGCACGATGCCACTCGCTGGAGGTCATGGGCAGGAGCTGGAAGCCAACAGAGACCACAGGTCTACCCTTCACTGCCCTGCCCCTGGTTGGGGGTCCAGAGAGGGATCCCGCTCAAAATGACTGTCAAGCCAGAGGGACTGAACGGCCTCTCTCTCTCTCTCCCACCCCCCCACCCCCCTCTCTCCTAGCCTTGCACGGTGGAACATCAAAGTCATCTTCCCTCCCGGCCTACGGCAGGACCACCCTGAGCCGGGTAAGGTTCCTGACCACAGGTCCCAGACCACAGGGAAGGATTGTGCACGTGGCGTCCTCTGAGGGGCTGAGCTACTTGGGGAAGGGAAGACCTTCAAGGGAAGGGACTGATGAGGAACACTCAGCTTCCTTCTGATCCTTTCTGTCCTTTCTAGCTGCAGTCCACAGACTTCAGCCCAACCGGGAGTGAGGCTGGAAGCCCAGGTGAGAGGCAGGGTCAGGCCAGCGGAGAAAGGGCTTAAGCAGGCCCTGGGGCAGCTGTGTCTGGGATGCGGGCAGGGCTGTGTGGCTGCAGGGCAGGGAGGCTAAGCTGGCTGGTCTGAACAATGACTCTTCTCTCCCCAGGCCTGCAGGTGAGTGCCATCCGGAGGAGGATGTGGAGCACAGAAGCCTGGGACAGGCAACTGGCAGTGTTGGGGGAGGGGGTGTTGGGCCACCCAGTTGCCTGGTGAGCACATGAGAAGCCCCGGGTAAGGCTGGGGAGGTCTCCCTGCCCCACTCTGGCTCACTGCGGCTTTGGTCTCCCCAGAACGGAGAGGGCCAGAGGGGGAGGATGGACCGGGGGAACTCCCTGCCCTGTGTGCTGGAGCAGAAGGTGAGGGGCAGCGGCAGAGCCGGGGGGGTGGGCAGGGGACAGAAGCCTCTGCAGTGGGGTGGCCAGCTTGGGGAGAAGCCAGGCAAGTGAATGCGCTATGGGATCCTCCTGGAGTTGCTGACGGGGAAGCTGGGGGCGCTGGATGGCAACATGGCATGAACCCAATGGCCCTGCAGGCTGATAAGGGGGCCTGGGGAGTTGAGGGTTGACAGCAACAGGGAACACTATGAGCCTAAGACTGCCCCCTGCCCTGCCCCCCAGATCTATCCCTACGAAATGCTGGTGGTGACCAATAAGGGGCGAACCAAGTTGCCTCCAGGTGTGGATCGGATGAGGCTGGAGGTATGCAGGGGAGAGGCGCTGGTGGGTGCAGGGGCTCTATCGGGCAGCCTCCCCTCCTGGTGGGGAAGACCTGCCCCCTTGGTCGCTCAGCCCAGCCCGCCCTCCTCTCCCTAAGCGGCCTTGGTCTGTCCCCTGCAGAGGCATCTGTCAGCCGAGGACTTCTCCAGGGTGTTCGCCATGTCTCCTGAAGAGTTTAGCAAGCTGGCTCTGTGGAAGCGGAATGAGCTCAAGAAGAAGGCTTCCCTCTTCTGACCGCCCCACACTTCCTGACTGACCCTCACCCCTGCGGCTCTCTGGAGCTGGGTCACTGGACCCTAAAGCATCATCTCTCGGGGGGGGGCACAGAAGTGGGCAGAGGTGGGGTTGGCTGCATTCGCTAGGTCAAGGGGAGCCCGGTCTTCTCTCAGTGCTGGGCTGTGGGACATGGACCTTCTTCCCATAATGAGCCAGGGGCCTCCCCTCCTCCCTAGTCCTCACTGCACAGGGCAAACCCAGGCTGGACTCCAGCACTCAGAGTTAATGTCTGCACCCTCTCCCTGCCCCCACCCCATGAAGAGAGGTCCCAGAAGAGGGAGTGAGGCGACCTGGACATGGCACGTGGTGCAGGCGGTTGATGTCTGGATCAGTAGGTGGGTAGAGCCCTCAGCCTGCGGAGGAGGTGAGGCAGGAAGCAGCAGGCAGGCAGGCACAGCTCCAGGACCCCATCTGCCCAGCACTCCTCCTCGCCTCACCGGGAGGCTCCCCCTGCACCTGGGCCTCCCGCCTCTGACTCCAGTAGGAGCAAGGCTGAGCTCAGCCTCCAGCAGGGAGGCCGCCCTGCCCGCCAGTTTACCCTCTGACCTCCTTGCACATCCTATGCTTTGAAGCCTCATGCTCAGCTCTGTGGCTTCCCCAGAAGCCTTGGCTTAGAGTGGAGATGTCGCCTATACCGAACCCCAGGCCCCCATCAGCCTCCAGGCACAGTGAGCTAGACTCCTACCTTCTGACACCAGGATCCTAGGCAGGACCAGGCCTTCAGGCTCCCTCAGATGGGAACAAGAGGCCAGGCCACCAGGTCCCACCCATACCCATGCATCCCCCACCATGCTCTCTAAAGAATGTAATTTATTGGGGCACCCCAGCTGCTTCCTCACCCAACTCTCTGCCCTACCTAATCACATTCCCAGCTTTTCTTCTCTACAAATACATATGTGTATATAATTATATATATATATTTTTTGCCCAGGTCTGGGTTTTGTTCCTGCCCAGACCCTGGCATCCCTTTCCACTGTGTGTATGTGTGAGATGATACTGGGGGAGGGGAACTCTGCTTGGAATTAAAAGGTTGCATTGGGTCCCCAAATTTACTTGTTCTTTATGAGCCACAAGGTCCGGGTGAGAGGGACGGGTGATGCCAGGCTGAGCGAAGTCATGGGAGTGAAGGTTCAAATGGGGGGCATACAGGGTTGGAGGAGATAGAGCGATGACACACACACTGTCCTTCCCCACCTGGGCCATAAGAGCAGGGCCTGGTCCAGCAGGCTCCCAGCTGCCACCTCCCCTTCGGGGCTGTGTGATGGTGACGGTGGATGGAAAGGCAGAAACATACTCCAGAGCCTGAGAGGAGAGCCAGCAAGGAGAAAAGGCTGCTCCATCCTCCACCGAAGCCCTAAGTGCTCCCCTGCACAGGCGAGCTCATCGATCTCTGACATGACTGCCCCCTCCAGTGCCTGAGATATGACAGTTCAGCGAGAGACCAAACACACAGCAAAGGTCAACAGGAAATGAGTAGGCAGTGAGCTGACTATCAAGGACCAGGCTGAGGACACTAAGGAATGGAGACACGATGGCTGAACTCTAGCAGGAGCAAGGGTAGTGGAGGCCGAGGAGAAGGGTACAGTCATTTGGTCTTGGTTGACTTGACAAAGCATTCCAGGGGGAGCAGCCCGGGAACTGGGCATCGAAGTGGGTGAAGGGGTGAAGGTTTGATTGGGAGATCAGAGGGAGGACTTTGGTATGGGGACTCGGAGGGGAGGGGCTGCCTCACCTGGCTGGAACAGAGCCCATGCGTGGGCGTGTAAAGCGGCGTTCATTCGATCAGAAGGATCAGGTGAGGTGGAGGGGGACCCAGTGTGAACCTAAGACTGCAGCTGGGACCTGAATCCAATCTCCCACCCCAGGATGAGTTTCTAGCCCCTTGGGTTGAAACAAAAGCAAAGTGGGTAAGAATCATTCAAATGTGAATGATGATTTTAAGTTGCTGAAGTTCTGTTATGTCCACAACATTGTTTTATCTTCTCAACAAACCCGTGAGGACAACAAATCATTTTAATCCACTAAGTTTAGGAGAAAATTGTGAAATAGAGACATTTCATCTATGGCCTGAAGCTACATGCAACTGAGTAGAGAATGGAGACAAACGTCTGAGTTTCTTGACTGCTAACCCAGGACTTTCCCAATATAGACACTTGTCCCTCAAGGGGCAGCAGAGAGGCCAGACTAGGAACAGAGAGAGGGATGGTCTCCACACACGCACTTCCGTGAGGCATCAGTGAATGGTGGAGGGCTTACCTGTTCCAGCAGAGGGACAGTGGTGGAGAGGCCAGCGCCACTGTGTCCACCCAGCTCCCAGACTGTTGAGCAACAAAGCAAGCTGAGGCAGTATTTAATCACAGCTCACTGGGAAATGCTCATGGTGGGGCTGACTGGATAGTATATCCTAAAGGATTTACGTTCCTGAGATTCAGAGCAACTTGGCAGCTCTGTCCCTAAAACAAAAGCTTAGGGAGAATCTCTCAGTGCCTCCTCCCCAAAATACACATGGATACGCATGTACAAACAGATGCAAAACCTTGGTAGTTATTTCATCCAGTGGTTTCCAAACCCTTTTAGTAGCAACCCTTAAAAAAAATTAGATCTTACTACTACTGATCAAAGTACATTTATAAGTTGGATTTTATAGTCAACTAGAAGCCCAGTGCACGGATTCGTGCACCAGTGGGGTCCCTCAGCTTGTCCTGCGCCCTCTCACAATCCGGGACCCTTGGGGGATGTCGGATAGCTGGTTTCGGCCCGATCCAGACAGGAGGGAGCCCTATCCTGTGCATTGAGCAGCTGTCCCCTGGTGGTCAGTGCGCGTCATAGTGACCGGCTGACCGGCCATTCGGTTGGCCAGTCAGCAGGTCACCTAGGCTTTTTTTTTTTTTCGATGCAAAAGCAAAGAGTCTTTATTCGAGCTAGCTCGAGCTCCCCATCACCACACTCACTGACACAGCGGCAGGAGGCAGAGAGAGCAGCTTTTATATATACAGATTATTATGAAAATCAATGAGAACAAAGAAGCTATAATCAATAAAAAGTAAGCTTTGCCTTAGCCCCGTGGTCAGCAAATCATGGCTCGCGAGCCACATGCGGCTCTTTGGCCCCTTGAGTGTGGCTCTTCCACAAAATACCACATGCGGGCGCGCACGTACAGTGCCATTGAAACTTCGTGGCCCATGCGTAGAAGTCGGTATTTTGTGGAAGAGCCGGTATTTTGTGGAAGAGTCACACTCAAGGGGCCAAAGAGCCGCATGTGGCTCGCAAGCCATGGTTTTCTGAGCCGCAGTTTGCCGACCACTGCCCTACCGGGTTTGGCTCAGTGGATATAGTGTCAGCCTGGGGACTGAAGGGTCCTGGGTTTGATTCTGGTCAAGGGCACATACCAGTCAGCCCCACCACAAGCATTTCCCAGTGAGCTGTGATTAAATACTGCCTCAGCTTGCTTTGTGGCTCAATTCCCAGTGTGAGGCATGCAGGGGGCAGCCAATCGATGATTCCCTTCATCACTGATGTTTCCATCTCTCTCTCCCTCTCTCTTCCTCTCTGAAATCAATAAAAATAAATAAAGAATTAAATAAATAAATAAAATAAAACAAAAACAAAGTTTCTCAAAAAAAAAAAAAGTAAACTTTGATTGCCCTGATGTGGCTCAGTGGTTGAGCATCAGGCTATGAACCCAGAGGTCATGGTTCTATTTCCAGTCAGGGCACATGCCCAGGTTGTGGGCTCGATCCCCAGTAGGGAGCGTGCGGGAGGCAGCTGATCCATGATTCTCTCTCATCATTGATATTTCTATCTCTCCCTCTTCCTTCCTCTCTGAAATCAATAAAAAAAAAATATTTTTTAAAGTAAGTTTTGATGAACAGAAGAAATTTAGGTCAGGGGTTATATATGACAGTTTCCCTTTTGTCAAGTGGAGGATCTAATTTATTATTGCATTTGGTTGCACAGTATCAGGAAAAATCCTGATTCACATAGGTAAGAAGTTACAAAATTGTGGTAGTTTAAAAATGCATGCCAATCCATCCACATCCTTCCTGCTAAGCAGCAGCATCTATGCCCCCTCTCCTTGACTCTGGGGCGGGCTTGTGCTTGCCCGTTAAAGCTCTTTATCCTGCAGTAGCCTTCTACCTCATTTAAGGCCCAGGGATAGGGAACATCTGGCCCATGAGCCACGAAAGGTCCCAGAGATCATTTGGTCTGGCCCTGCCAAGGCCTTAGGGGTGAGTTAATTCAATGTTTGACCAAATATCGCAGGCCAGTTGTTAAGCTGATGACTTTGAATGGCCCGAAAATGCTGTTATAAATATCCACGTGGCGCTTGGCAGGAAACGGTTCCCCACCTGAAAGCTGACAGGAGGAGAGGATTTACTGAAGGTCTTCTCCCAAATGAGCTAACCTCACAGCAGAATTTAAATTCACCAGTGATTCTTAACACTTTCGGTATATAACACACACAAGGGTATCCACTGACTTTTATCAGAACTTTTAAAATAAGATCTAAAAAGTTACCCTGACTTGTGAACCAGGAGGTCAGGGTTTGATTCCCAGTCAGGGCATATGCCGGGCTGCGGGCTCCATCCCCTGTGTGGGGTGTGCAGGAGGCAGCCAATCTATGATTCTCTCTCATCATTGATGTTTCTATCTCTCCCTCTCCCTTCCTCCCTCTAAAATCAATACAAATGTGTTTTAAAAATAATAACGATATAAAAATAAATGAAAAGTTAAACCAAATAAAAGGCTATGGATTCCTGATACACTTCCACTATACCCTAGAGTTTCTTGAAACATGTTGAGGAGGGAACAGATTCAATCCATCCAGCTGCTTCCCTTACCCAAGAGTCAATGGGCCCAGAGGAGGACAGTGCTGGCTGGACTGAGGGCTCCAACTCCCAGGTTGCTTCTGGATACACAAAACGGGCTGGTTTCTTCCCTGTATACACATTTTGGCCTAAAAGCCTCCCTGTTTCCCATAGGGCTCCTTACCAGGGACCCCTCTGCTGATGAACTGTTAGAAAATATTATTCACCCCCCCCCCCACACACACACACACACAGCTGTAGGAGAACTGAGCTCCAAATACTAGTACTACTAGGTCAGCCTAGACTTGGCCAACCCCGGCCCTCCCCATGCCTCAGGCTGCCCTCCACAGCACACAGCCCGCTCTGGGCAGGTCACTGTCTCCTGGGTCTCAGCCCCCATGGGGAAGGCGACCCCACAGCTCAAGGTCCTAGGGTTCTGTGACAGGGCCCAGGCGGACCTCCACCTCCCCATCCCTGTTCCTATGGGACTCTCGGCACCTGCCCCTTAGTCACAGGCTGGCAGTGGGCAGCAGAAATATATTTTGAACAGACATCCATATCCTGTCCTCAGAAAGAACCTCTTCCCATTCTTGGAGCAGTGGAGGTGGAGGGCGGGGGCGCTTTACACTGGCAGAGTTGGCAGCTAGAAGGCGCATCCTCAAGACCCCAGCTTCGGACATTCCGGGAACCCCTGCTCTTGCTGAGGGTTCCGCCTGCATAATTTTGGGGCATAATTGTCCTGTGCCCACGGGAAACCCACTCTGTTTCGTCCCGTGGTGCAGCTCAAAGGGCCAAAGGGGCCATTTGTTACTTCCCGTGGGACCTCTGGCCCAGCGCTGTGCCCACTTAAAGTAACAAGCAAGGAGTGAAACGAATTTTAATAGTACCCCAATATCGCTAACATATCACCCCACAGCATGCAGTCCACAGAAAACCTCCTCCGTGCGCTATTTCATTCTTTACTAAGTGGTCAGACCCCGGGGCGCATGCCCTCCACGCAGCCCGCCTCAATGAGGGCTCCCCCCAAGCTACACACGCCCGCGGCCGCCGTGGGAGGCCGGGGTGGGGGGGCCCGGGGGCGCCTGGAGACGCACGGGACCCACAAAGCTTCTCACTCCCCAGAAGCGACCTCCGCGGGCCACGCGCCCTCCTCCGAGGGGAAGGGTCGTTGTCTCGCGGCCACCCGGCTCCTAAGGCGCCTGCGGGCTGGACCCTGCGCCCCGCGCGGCACCCCCCCTCC